TTATTTATACAATTTATTATCTTTTAAAAATTTTTATTATTTTTAATATAAAATTAAAAGTAAATAAATTTAAAAATATAATTATGCATATAACATATAAAAATAAATTAAATTAATTACATTTATATTATATTTTAATAGTTAAATCAGGTTAATATTGAAAGGTTTAGTGAATTAAAAAATATATCAATCATTTTCCTTTATATTGAATTATCTAGATGCATTTACTTATGGCTGTCATCTATTACTAGTTATATGCTATACAAATAGCTCTTATATCATCTATAAAGTGCAAAAAATTTAAGTAATTTAATGATAATTTTCTTTCATTAAAAGCAAAAAATTTTAAATTTGAATCACGTGAGATATGAGTATAATGAGTTAAAGAATGAAAAAGTTGTATTTTATTGTACAATTCAAAATAATATATATATATAACTTCTATGAATCTATATAAAGATTATGGCAGCGGCATAATCTTTATTTGAACTGTAGGACTATTTGTCCTCTTAAATCATTTTTAGAGAATCTATCTAACAGCTTATTTTTTAACTAATATTTTTATAAATTCACCATTAAATTAAAAGTTTTATATAACATTTATAACCTTTTAATCAAATAAATTATATTTTTTAACTTATATTTAACAGTCTTAAATTTATTATAATCAACTACATAATTAGATTTATTAAAATAATTTAAAAATTAATATATATGATTTATATAAATAAAATTTTTAATTTAATAATTAATTTTTAAAAATATTAATTAAAAAATAAATTTTTATACACATCCTTGAAAGAAATTTAAAAAGACAACCTATTTTTGTTTGATATATATGTATATAAAAATCATGGAGTACATTACACGATGCCACACTTCCTCCACCATCCAATATCGTACTATTGCACTGGTGTTTAATGTTAGTTTTCAATTGTATGTAACATTTCCATTTATTTTAAATTGAATTATTTTACTTTATATACTTTGAATATTATGTTATTTTATAACGCATTCTTCCTGTAGTAATTTTCAAATTCGAGATGCAAAGTACTAGTCGTTATGCTTTGTCAGTCCAAGCATAAGTTTGATAGAGAAATTATGAGGTACTTAGATTTATTTATTGGGATGAAAAAGAGTGAATTTTTAAATAAGGTATGAGGAATTTTTTTTTATATATTATAATCTACGGTACGAGAAAGTTGGAGGTTGTACGGGAATGTTTATATATATATATATGTATATGTTGTTGGGGCTTGTCTTCTAAAAATTAAAAAAAAAAAAAAAAGAAAAATTCTCACGTTGTAATTTAATGACATTGATTTTGGATTAATGAGGTTATTTTCATGAGTTATAATTTTGAATTTTATGGATTCTCTTTTTTTAATTTCTCATTATGTTCCTAAAAAATATAATTCTATTTAAAAATAAAAAAATAAAAACAATTACATCCTCAAGCCCATCTCATTTGGAGTCATTTATATATTTTGAATAATGATGATTTAAGTCTAACCCTGGCTGCTACCTGCTAACCAGGAAAATGTACCTAGCTGGGTTGGTGCCCTGGCTGCTACCTGCTAACCAGGAAAATGTACCTAGCTGGGTTGGTGCCCTGGCTGCTACCTGCTAACCAGGAAAATGTACCTAGCTGTGTTGGTGCCCTG